TATTTTTATAGGTAGTTTTCTGTTCATTTTTGCTTCCCTCTTCCTCCCACTCTTTTACTTTGCATGACCAAAATTCTCTTAAATTGCAACTTCAGGTATTTGGGGTAAAAGACGTGGCATGGTCTGCATAAACTGATAGGACAGTCACATTAAAGCAGTGCAAGATCAAGAGTGATTGTGCACAGTCCTGTAGATACTGATATTACTAAGTTTGTATTTTATTTTTGACAATGTAATTTATTTTCAATTTGTGATGGAGCATGAGGTAAGGAAAGGACTAAAGGCAGACCTAACAGTGCTCAGCAGCCATCCCCGAGACCCCCAGTAAGGATCAGCAAGCACATCTCCAAGGCAGTCTGGTTTCTGCCCTTTGGTATCCTCAAAGTTTCCACTCTTTTTTGGATCATAGAGAGGATACTAGTGATGAATGAAAGAATCATTCACAGTACCACATATCACCTGTGTGATACTGCCAGTCCAGATATCCAGGGGCCCATGCTTATGATTCTTTGGTCTGATTTGTCTCCAATATAAGTGACTACAGTTGCTGATGAAGCCCATGGGAACTGTGCTGTACATAGCTACAGCGATACACAAATGACTCTGAAATAATAGATTGGCTTGGAAATATCAAATGTTTCACATGGACCAAACAAGATGAAAGTATTAGCATCTATGCACCTCTTCCTTAGTTTGTCACCTGTAAACTTTAGTATAGCGTTACCTAATTATAGTTTCATTAAATCAATTAATTAGAAAGTAAACAGGTGCTACATGTTACCTAATTGCAGTTTCATTAAATCAGTTAATTAGAAAATAAACAGGTGCTCCAGAAAACTCCTGAGGGGAGAGAAGAAAAGATGGTTACTGTATGCAGTGAATAAGGCGTATGAGAAATTTTTGAAACTATGATAAAATTGAAGTTTGAAATACTTTGTTTACCCAGTATTCAATATAAAATGAGGATTTTCAATCTGGAGGCATTGTCTGATTTATCGTTTAACATAAACTTAACATTGTGATCTTTTGCTGATGCTGAATTAATTTGGCTTCTGTTTAAGAAAGGCTGGTTTGTTTTTTTTCCAGTTTTCTTTTAGTTTGCAACAGAATATTAAATACTTCGAGTTCAAAGACCATTGTTTTTCATCCTATATGTGGAACATTTTATATATTATTATGAAATTGCTTTACAGATGTGTTACTATATATTTTACATTCTTTTTTTCCTATTGAAGTCATTTGAGTTCTAAGAGCTCTGCCACTTTTCTGGTTTTATTCTGTAATCCTGAAATAAGGAGGAAAGTAATGTGTCTGCCGTTATAAAGAAATGAAATCAGGCAAGGTAAGGCAGTATTAACACTTCAGTGTTCACTAAAACTTTGTGCATTCAATAAGAGATGAATAATTCTAATTGGTTAGAAGTGGTTATTCTAGAAAGGAGGGAGTGGTGGATTGTCCTGTTTTCTTCCTTATCCTGTAAAAAAGAATGGAAGAGGGTGAAAAGCATTCTAAAACTGCCATTCACTGTAATGATATTTCAGAATGTTTCTGGCTATTATAGGCTTCAATAAGAGATACCTATTACAATCAAATTTGTCCTGTGGGTATATTGCCTAGTTTAGGTGAATAAATGATTCTGCACTAGTGAATGAAGGGCTATGACCAGTTCACTGTACAGTAATTCTTGCAGGGATTAAAAAAAACCTGTTTCTTTCAGAGGTCTCCTGAATAGCTTTCCTGTTTTAACTTTGTCTTTAGAGAGCCTCCTTTGGAGCAAAGAGCACAATGCACAGACTGTTATCAAATGCAAAATATGACCATGTGTGAATGCGCAAATAAAGTGTGAAATGTTTGTGGAATGGTTGCAGTATTTACCATTCTTTTTTGTACTGCCAGAGATAACAAGTGGGAATAACTGGTTTTTGTTTTAGCTGTTGCTGTGAGAAACTGAGGAGCAAATTGCTTGGGGTCAAATGAAGCAGTTTATTATTCTACTTTGCAGAAGAATATACATTTCCTATTTTCAAGTGATCTTTTGTTTCCTTTTTAATTATCACACTGAGGTCAATTTGTTTTCCTTTTTATAGGGAGACGGACAGCATACATTTGTGTCTGGTTTTGGTGGATAAACTATTCATGTGCAGAATTTTTCCCTGCTCTCTGGTTTCTATTGCTAGCCTGAACTGTACATCACATCTTTCATAACAACATGCTAAATTATTTATTTTGAAAGATCAGAAGAATTTGGTTTGGAAAGAAATATGAGCCGCAGTAGAGGCAGTGCTCCCACAGGGGTCTCTCCTTGTTCTGGGGAGTGGGATATGTGAAGGAAGACCCAGCGTGGCTCCACAGGAGTACAGTGTGAGGAGGGAGAAGCTGGTGCAACTAAGAAGCACTGGTATTTGAAGGCTACCACCTCTGAAACTGTGTGTGTGTGAGTGGTTGGATCTGAAAGACTTGTGCTTTAAGTTCAGAAGTGATGCAAAATTAATTTCAGGTGGGACTTCATAACTGTGTGCAGAAAAAGTGCACTTACAGATTATTGTATGGAAGTAATCTGATTCATTTTTCAATATGAGCCTAGCAAATGTATACTGCTCTTACACTAATACTGGATTCAGGTTTTTTTCACAACTCTTTCTAAAAAATGCCTGAGTAATACTTTTGGAATCAAGAATTCAGATTTTGTTGCCACTTATTTAGTAAAACCGCTTTAAAAGGCAGGTTTCAGCATAACAGAGAGGATAAGTGAAACCAGTTCGTTATTGTGAAACCTTGTTAGGAATTAGGTTCATTAAACATGTACTTTTCACTGCTTTCCGCTAAAGGATTAAGTGCGGCCTCAGTGCCTTGAGTAGCTAATCTTCAGTGACAGTATGGGCTGCAGCGCTGCAAACTGAACTGACACATGTCAAGCCCGTGTTTTCCATAAAGTTAAACAGATCGGCTTTGCTGTCATGGCAGTTGACTCTACAACATGCTTTGTTTGAAGCCGCAGCACAAGAAACATGCAAGAATTCCAGCAAGGACTTTGCTGTCTAACTCTTTTGCAAGCCTTTCAGTGAGTTGTTTGTGTTTTTTTTTTCCTCTGCTTCAATACAACTTGAAGCCATTAGCAAAACAAGCTACTCAGCTGTTGTATAGTGCCTGACCATTCAGGGCTAATCTGTAACAGCAAAGAGCATCAGAGGAGAAAGTTACCTGGTTGCATGATTGCAATGTCTTTCTTTTACAAGAAGCTGCAACATTAAAGCTTAAGTTGTTTTCCTTAGGCAGTACCTTGTTTTATTCTCTGCCTGTGTCTGAGCATGGGAACAAGAACTAGAGATTGAATTTTCCCTCTCATGTTTTGAACTAATTCAGCCGTACTTCTGGGTTAAATTCATAACCATACTACAGGACAGTATTTCACACAGCTGCATATTGCTCACGGCTTCCTGTGATGTGCTCATTTGAACCTCTTGAAACAAACATTAAAGCTAGCAAACAGAATCACAGAATCAGTTGGGAGAGATGGAATGGGAGAGACAGAATGAAAGAGATCTTAAAGAACATCTACTTCTAAACCTCTGCCATGGTCACTTATCCTGTTCCCACTTAGGGCATGTGTTACTTTGCAAGTTATACAGCAGTGGAAAAGCAGGCTCAGTAGCAATGATGTAAATGTAGGATTTGATCTTGGACAAATAAGCAGGCCAACAAGATTCCTGACAGTGGTTGTATGGTAATCGCATAAGAGACTTTAGACACTCTCAATCTGCAGTTAATCACAGCAATTGCAGGTAAATCCTTCATAAATAGCTTTTTTTTTTAGGCTTCAAAACTACTGGTGTTACAATAAAGAAAAGTCAGAGGTGATCTTCTCTTCTGCTTCTATAAAACAACCTATCAAGGTTTTCTACCAGTTTATGCTATGAAGAGCTAGTCTAGCATACTCACCTGTGCCTAAGGGGCTATACAGATGCCTCACCTGTTCTGAGAACTGATTATGGACATAAAGCCCTATAAAAAATTAAACTAAAATTAAATTAAAATCTGAGCTGCATATTTAAAATGTGTTAATGTCAAGATTAGCAGGTATATGCTGTGCACTTTCAAATAATTAGTTATATCCTCTCATTAATAGCTACAAGTTCAGTAAGTCTGTGTAGCATCTTAATAAATTGTTCATTGTGCCACTAGATCTGAACCCAAGCTCTGCATTTTAACAGTGAATCAAATTCAATCACCACATCCAAACCCATGAAGTCATATTTCTCAGCCTAAACAATTGGATCTGCACAATAAAGCAGTGCAGGGTTTTTTTCTACATAAGAATAATCCAGCCTTGCAAATCTTTCAGAGGAGGAGAAATGTTTTCTTGGCGGGGACCTAGCACTTTAATTATAATTTGAATATTTGTGCTTAAATATGAGTCTTAAATACCCAAAAATGTATTTAAAAGGTCTGGTTGAATAAGACTTTTTAACAGTTAACATAATAAACCATATTAAAATACTACAGGCTTTCTGCTTATTCCTCTGTGTGTCAGGAATGATTGCAGCAGACGTAGGGGTTGCATGAATGCTGTCTTCACTTTGCTTGACCACCTTGGTGGAGATGTCTTTGCAAAGGATGCCTGTAAAGGGATTGTGATTTGTATACACAGATCTTCTAGGAATTCAGCTGAAATCTTTCTTGTTGAATTTGAAGACTGTTCCTGTATTGCTGTCCACAAAATGGATTCAGAATTGGGTTATCCAAAATGCTAAGTGTCACTAAAATATGTGTATGTTAGCTCCGAGAGAATAATGACTTATTCTGCACTTCTGGAGAGCAAAAATATCTGTCTGTCTAGAGTTCCTTGATCATCTTCATATTTCTCATATTGTGAAATTTTCTTATTACTGTGTTTTAGTTGTTTTTTTCTTTGCCATAAGCTAACTTTCTGTTCCAGTTGAAAATGTCATTAGAAATAATAAACATTTCCTTTTTGTGTGTGTTTTTTTCATCCCATACAGTGTGAAAGGAGCAGATGCTGGCAACGTAATCAGAATATTTGTACCAGATATTGGGATGTCCATTGCTAGTCTGGCAATATGGCTCATCTGTCGCAACATATTTCAGAAGCCAGTAACGGAGGATGCAGCACAGTGCAACATGCAATTTGAAAATGAGGAAATGGTATCAAATAACACATTTCTATCTGCATGGCTTTTGGCTAAGAGTGAGCTTTGGCGTTCCTGTCTGAGATGCATTCTAAAATGGTTTTACATGAACTGGGTGTGTTAAGTAGTGAACTTACTTTCAGGAAAATTAAACAATTGTTTTTAAAGTGGAAAAGCTACCGTTGTTACTATTTTGAGAAAACAAAGCAGAATATGAAAAGTAGTAGATATGCTACTGAATTTTTCAAATAGTTTTGACTTAAGAAATGACCATGAGGATTGATTGCAAGTTGTTTCTTCACTAGAGCTGTTGGTTGAGTCTGAGGTTATTTTGCTACATAGATTGCTCAGTTTCTTGTACAGCATCCATATTTCCAAAGTTGTTATCGAAGAATAACAACAGCATCTGAGTGGTTATCAGAAAGACTTTTAGGAGAAGGGAAGAGAAATTGTGTTTTATGTTCATGGAAGGAGCTATACCAAACTGTGGTCATCCTGCATAATCTTGAGGATCATTTTTGGGAATGAATTAGCTGGAAGTGTTGATGTGTTTGCTGTGTATTTTGCTAGTGGGAAGAAGAATGGAAGACATACTGAATGCAGAAAAATCCACAGAAAGAGAGAAACAATTTTATAATATAAAAAGCCGCAGTGGGAATTAAGCCCAGGGTGCAGAGAAATTCCTACTACTAATCTTAAAGTGTTTTTTATCAGAATGTCTAGTGTGCCTTCTGTCTCATTTTCTGTCTTTTTTTATATGGGTGGAATATTTCTTCCTTTACTCTCAAAACTCCAATTTTAGGGGTCACAGTTGCAGAGGCATCTGAAGGATTAAGAAGTGTGGCTAGTTAGCATGCTTTGGGTTCAGCCTGTCTCTCTTAAAAGAGTTGCATTTTGCCAAAGTGGCCTCTAACAGATTTTTTGAAGCCCTTGATCTCCTGGAGAGAAAGCATGCATGTGCATAAAACAGGAGTAATCTGATGGCAGAAGCTCCAAAGAAAAAAACAAAGCGCATTCTTAAATTCCCCTGGATTTAGATTATGATATTCAGATACTTACCTTTTGTATGGTTCAAAGGTGAGCCTGAGCCTGGGTCTGAAGGGAGCTCAGTCTCATGGAGAGGATGGGTGCTGGCTTCCAGGCAGAGTGCAATAGCATTTGCCTGGAATGCAAAGGAAAAAAATAAGCTAACGCTGGTTACATAGCACAGAGCTTTATATTGGGTTGGTTTTAGACTGGCTATTACAAGGCAATCCACCAGTGCAACTACATGGGCCAGAATATTGCACAAAGGGATAGTGTGGGGGAGAGGGAGAAAACTTTGACTGCAAGGAAATATTGAACTGGGTAAATAGAAATCTGTGTAAATACATTTCACTTTTCACATCAAAACCCAGCAAACATTATTTATGTTCTGTTAACTGTATGTATTAGTGAACACAGCATCTGTGTTTAGATTTAGTGACACCCAAAACTCTGTCACAGGCTTTTATTTTTTTATTAAAAAAAAATAATAGTTTCTGTCATGTGAGGTGATCCCCAATGCTGTAAGGAATTCTGATCTTCACAGCTGAAATGGTGAAACTTCAGCAGAATAACCTGCTTGATTTTTAAAGATGGAGTGAAATGGAGAGTGGAAAATTAAATACCTATTAAACACATTTTTCCAAATGTCAGCTTTCTCTTTCTAGGTGTCTGCACATAACATCCTGGAATCATTTCTGCTAGTTAGGAAGAGGCTGCAGAAGCAGCCGAATCTGCTAGGAATATGTATTTGGCAGGACTGCCTTTAAGGAACCTAATGCATATGCAGAGCATGTAGCTGAGTGTCTGAATTTGGGAGAATATTGGCATGATCTAAAATGAGTCCGAACTGTGTGAGTTTCCCATGATAACTCTCAATTCTTCCTTGGTAAAGCACACTGGAAAAGGGAAAACTAAGTAAGTGATCAGTTCTTTGAATTCTGCATTAGCTGACTGATGCCTGTGTCTGCATGTTGGTGCAGCTCTGTACTAACGCTGTTAACTCTATTGAATTAAAAAACACATAATGAGCTGCAGCAGTAACTCCCCTACAAACAAACACTTCAGGAGAAGTGTTGAGCTTGGTACTGTGCCTCCAAGGGAAATAGTCCTGCATTTGTTAGACCAGCCCTGAAGCCAGTTCCAGAGCTGAAGGGCTTTTTCTGAGAGTTCCTGCTACCAGGCATCACAGATTCATGGTATGAGATTTTGTTAAGAATGCATCAACTGATTCAAGCTGGCTCAACAGAGCCATAAGAGAGGTGACTTCAGATTGCCAGATGTCTAGCCACAGATAGCTCTATAAATCAAGAAATCATCATTGTGACTTCCAGGCAAAAGCAGAGAGTGTCTTGGAGTTTGACTTACAGCTTTACCTTTTTGCATGAAATTATTTACATTTAGCAATTCTCAGACCTCTTTGCTTCAGGCGAGAGTAAAATAGTGTGGGAATGGGCTTAATTAAAAAAGAAAGGTTAATCTATCTACTCCTTCCAAAATTTATGGAGAAAACCTGTTAAATAATTAATACTTCTAAAAGTGAGCTTTTCATTGCTCTGTGTGAATCCATCACATTTCATTTTTATATGGGCATGCTGAAAAAATACCTGAAGTCGAGTGGCAGTATGTGGTGCTCAGTTATGTGCTGCACTTTGTTACGGCAGTCACCTCCAGAAACCAGCTGTAGAGTACAATGGATCAGATTGCTCATGGATCGAGATGCAATTCAAAATAAGAAAAATATCAGAATCCAAATTAAGGACAACAAGAATTCATCCAAAAATTGACGTCCTTCACCATTACACTACATCCAGCTTTAAGGGAAACAGATCTCCATCAGAAAAGTATATTCTACAGAACAAAACTGGGGGGAGGAAGCTATAAGGCAGTGAGAGACTCTCAATTATTTGTAAGTAATGCTATCCCAGGAATAAGCAAAGAGTGTGGTTTTAATTAGCAGTGAGTCATGAAGTAGGAAGGTCTGCCAGATACCAGGCTGCAGTCCAACTCATTACCACCCCTAAATGGTTGCACACTTGGAGCAAACGTGTCTGCAGGCCTTTTTTATTAGGGCTCAGAAAATTTAAAGCAGGTGAATTCAGCTGGAGACAGGCCCAGACTGCAAATACTGAAAAGCACAATGCCAGTCACAAGGTGTAAAATGGGGAAGAAAGTAAGAAAGAACAGTTAACTCCCAGCTGCAGCTGAAAGTATGACATTCTTGATTTCATGCAGATGGTGGTTTATATGCCAAAATGCAGATGCGGTATATATACAGTCTGATAGGTATCAGAAAGGAAGTAGCTTTTTCTTTGACTATGGATGAATTGCCTAATATTGTGACAGTGGTGGGGAGGGAAATCCTTCTGAGATTTCACAACTTAAACTTTAGAAGAGGTATTGATCTTTATGGGAATATACAGTTGTAGTCTTCAATACAGCTGCCTTCCACGGCACTTACTGTGTTGTCCATCCAAGCTTGTTTCTTATCCATGTTCTTCTAGAAAGCAAATGGGACCACTGTTTCTGTGTTGTCTCATAATCTGAGGCAAGCTTATGCCAGATCCTCCAGCTTTATTTTTCTGCAGAAGGCAGGGATTTGTTTGGGATAAAAAAAAAACGAAAAAGAAAAAACAAACAATCAAAAAACAGCATGGCTCTCACTTTGGCCACGAACTTGGTTTGTGTCCTCCAGTCCATTACTTCATCTGTCTCTGGGCTTCTGTGTCTTTTGGCAAATAGGAGCAGTTAAAAATGCTCAGTTGCCTTTGTCTTGCTAAACAGTAACCTGCCTATTTGTCCTGCACCTGTAATGGGCACATAGTACATCAAAAGCTCTCTTATGGCCCAGGTCTCCAAGTGTGACTGCAATACATACAAAACAGAATGGATAGGCTATGAAAGCTACAAATATGCCATGCCTTATCCAAGGACTTCCTAGTCTAGAAATTGCCCATTGAGACCAGTATCCTCATCCTGAAAGTGTTTGCTACCTGCTGGATAAGGGCAGTAAGCAAGTAAGGGAATACTTTTTTCTCCATGTCTAACATTACAATTTATGCTGATCTCTCCTAGTGAGAGAATGGCTTTAATTCTAAAACATGTGGTTTTAAATCCCTTCCAAAAAATGTTGTTTTTAATTACAGCTACTCTGGATAATCTTGTTAAACATGTAATTATCCAGACCCTTTTAAAATCTCATTAATTTCTTGGCTTTGGTGGCATCATGAAGCAAGGACTTCCACAATTTAATAAGTGCTCTCTGATTTTACTTCAAATTTAACACTTTTTAATTTTATGAAAGGTCCCTTGTATTACATGTTATAAAACACAGTGAGATGGTGTAAAGGAACTCAAATATATGATCTTCATGTATGTCCTTTTAAAGATAAGCAATCCATTATTTTTTTTTCCATTTCTTTTGTCATTTTCATTACTTTTTTTCTGAACTAGCTATACTTCTGCAATAGTCACCTGAGCTACAGGAAATATCAATGCCTCAGCATTTCAGGCAAAGTCTTGTTGTTGATTTAAATTATGGTATTATGACAATCACTATTAGATTCAGAGATTGTTGGGTTGGAAAATTCTACTAGTGTATCAGTTATCTGGATATCCTGTATAATATGGATAATTAGTTCAGTTTAGAGCACAGCTCCAAGAAAGGTCTGACACCCCAGTCCTTGTATTTGCTAGCAACTTGCCATTTTTCTTGCCTTCAGATGCAGAGATATCCTTTGAGCTTTTTACAATGGTGCCCATTTTTTTGCAAAGTCTGTGATGTGTATATTTTTCCTAAGATGATTTATTGTTTTACCAGCATCAAACATTCACCTGATTTGATCAGCTCTCACTGATGTGGGGCCTTTTGGTCCTAATTTCTCTGAACATCTTCTTCCCATATGGAACTTCTTCAGTGTTTGCTTCTCTTCAGAGACGGCAAATGATGGCTATTGTGGAAAATACTCTATGTGATAAAGAGGGAAAAAGAAC